TGGGACAACTGATTATCTACATTTATTTTTAAAAATAAAACTGTACAACAAAACAACAAGAAAGCCCACTACATGGGAGAACATATTTGCCAACATTATATCTGATAAGGGCCTAATCTCCAACATTTATAGGGAACTCATACAACTTAACAAAAGGAAGATAAACAATCCAATCAAAAAATGGGCAAAGGACCTAAATAGACACCTTTCAAAAGAGGACATTCAGAAAGCCAAGAGACATATGAAAACATGCTCAAAGTCACTAATCATCCGAGAGATGCAAATCAAAACAACAATGAGGTACCATCTCACACCTGTCAGAATGGCTATCATCAACAAATCAACAAACGACAAGTGCTGGAGAGGATGTGGAGAAAAAGGAACACTCGTGCACTGCTGGTGGGAATGCAGACTGGTGCAGCCACTATGGAAGACAGTATGGAGTTTCCTCAAAAAACTGGAAATGGAACTCCCATTTGACCCTGTGATCCCACTTCTAGGAATATATCCCAAGAAACCAAAAACACCAATCAGAAAGGATATATGCACCCCTATGTTCATAGCAGCACAATTCACCATAGCTAAGATTTGGAAACAGCCTAAGTGCCCATCAGTAGATGAATGGATTAGAAAACTGTGGTACATCTACACGATGGAATACTATGCTGCTGTAAAAAAGAAGGAACTCTTACAATTTGCAACGGCATGGATGGAGCTGGAGAGCATTATGCTAAGTGAAATAAGCCAGTCAATGAAGGAAAAATACCACATGATCTCACTCATTCATGGATAATAGAGACCATTACAAACTTTTGAACAATAATAGATACAGAGGCAGAGCTGCCTCAAACAGATTGTCAAACGGCAGCGGGAAGGCCGGGGAGGGTGGGGGGGCAGGAGGGAGGGGGGTAAGAGATCAACCGAAGGACTTGTATGCATGCATACAAGCATAACCACCAGGGGATTGTCAAGTGCGGGGGGAAAAAAGGAGAAACATGTAATACTCTTTGTAATAATTTAAGCAATAAAAATATATATTTTAAAAAAAATAAATAAATAAAGCATAGTGATTAATCACAAAAAAAATAAAAATAAAAAATAAAACTGTAGTTTGGCGGGTGTGGCTCAGTGGTTGATGTCATCCCATGCACCAAGAGGTCACTGGTGAGATTCCTGGTCAGGGTACATGCCCAGATTCTGAAGTCCATCCCCAGCAGTGGGAGTGAAGGAGGCAGCTAATGGATGTTGCTGTTTCTCTCTCATCAATGTTTCTATCTCTCGCTCCCTCTCCCTTCTTCTCTCTTTAAAATCAAGATATTTTTTTAAATATGTTTTTATTGATTTCAGAGAGGAAAGGAGAAAGGGAGATAGGAACATCAATGATGAGAAAGAAACATTGATCAGCTGCCTCCTGCATGTCCCATACTGGGGATCGAGCCCAAAACCCAAGCATGTGCTCTGATGGGGAATCGAACTGTGACCTGCTCTTAAGTCAATGCTCAATCACTGAGCCACACTGGCTGGCAATAAAAACATACTTGTGAAATAAACTGTACCCATATATAGCACTACACACACACACACACACACACACACACACACACACACCACAATTACTAACAGTTTACAGTTCTAAAACTTTTTGAAGAAAATGTAATAGACTATCTTGATGTTGGAGTAGAGAAACTTAAGACAAACAATCACAAATCATAAAGGAATAGACTGATAAATTTAGCTACATTAAAAATTAGAACTTCTGCTCATCAATAGACACTGTAAAGAAAATGAAAAGCCCAACCACAAATTGCAAAGTATCTATAATATATACAAGCAACAGATGAGTATCCAGAATACATGAAAATCCCTGAGGATGGAGGGCTGTGACATCTGCAATTTCTTTCCTAACAGTTCAGAAAACAAATGAATGAAAAAGTCAATAATAAATACACATATATGTGAACATATAAATATGTATTATAACAAAGCAAAAAAAGTAAAATGCTAAAAACTTGAATCTAGGTAATAGAAATAAGGGTGATCATTATAGTTTTCTTTCCTTTTCTAAAATTTGAAACATTTTATAATAATAGGCTGGGGTAGAATGTACAGAAATCCTACAGAGCAATAGAAAATCTTGATTTTCTAAAGAGGAAACAAAAAAACACAAATAAGATAAATAGAAAAAGATGGTCATTCTCATTAGTATCAGGAAAATGCATATTAAAGCTATTATGAAAAACCATTTAGTGTCCATAAAATGGACAAAAATTTGATATTCAAATGTTTGAAAAGACGTGGGTTAATGGGTCCTCCTACACCCTGCTGGTGGGGGGGATAAACTGACACGCATACACACGTGTGTGTACATTGAGCCATATTCCAACAACACACCATACAGTGGTATAAAGAAGCTACTGTTTGCCCTAACTGGTTTGGCTCAGTGGATAGAGCGTCGGCCTGCAGACTGAAGGGTCCCAGGTTCAAGTCCGGTCAAGGGCATGTACCTTGGTTGCGGGCACATCCCCAGTAGGTGGTGTGTAGGAGGCAGCTGCTCGATGTTTCTCTCTCATCGATGTTTCTAACTCTCTATCCCTCTCCCTTCCTCTCTGTAAAAAATCAGTAAAAATATATATTTTTTTTAAAAAAGAAGCTACTGTTTGCACAATCAGCGTGTATCAACCCCAGCCTAACTTCAAGCAAAACAATTAAGTCTCACCCTGGTCAGTGTGTTCAGTGGTTAGAGCATCAGCCTGCACACTGAAGGGTCGCTGGTTCGATTCCAAGTCAAGGGCAGGAACCTGGGTTGTGGGTTCAATCCCTGCCCTCCAGTCAGGGCACCTGCGGGAGGCAACCAGTCCATGTGTCTCTCTCACATGGATGTTTCTCTCTCTCTCTCTCTCTCTCCCTCCCTCCCTCCCTCCTTCCCTCCCACCTTTCCAATCTCTCTGAAAAGCAATGGGAAAAATATCCTCATATTAGGATTAACAACAAGAAAAAAATTAAGTCTCAAAAGGATACGGTGCCATTCTATGTATATAAAGTTTAGCCTTAAACAATCCATGAAATACTTAGCAATTGTGGTTCAAAGATGGAACCACAATTTTTGAAAAATTTAGGAAATGTTTATCACCAAAGTGGGAATAGCGGCTACTCCGTGAAGGGAAGAACCAGCTGGGATCCCAGAGGGAGGGGATGAACCCTCTCAGCCGGGGTCCTTTTTCGCTTTTAAGAGCACGCGTGTCTGAGAGTGTGTGCTCTTACCTGCACACACACATTTCATAGACTCTTCTGTGTATGAGATACAGTTCGCAAGAAAGGAACCTGGACTCAGGAAGTTCTCCACATGGAAAAATTTTGTAAATGTTGAAGATAAAAGGCTTTGAAATTATTTACCTTCAACTATGTCCTCAATACATGAGACATATATACAAAAGAACTGTTACAGTTGAATATTTTTGTAAGGATAGGAATCTTTTGTAGGGGGCACGATCACCCCCTAATTTATCTGTGCCACGGGGACAATGTTAGTGAATATGCCATCAAAGCACAAATGTTGCTGCTCTTCAAATATATCACATAAAATTTTCATAGGTGAGAGAGTTCTGGAAGTTCCCCTCTTTATGAAAAATACACAAGACTTGCCAAACCTACCAAGACAAAAAAAATTGTGTATGTTCTAAAATACAAAACAATATCATTATTTTACAGTTATTAACAATAATTTTAAAACAATACACTTGAATATCAAACATTATCCTTCCTATTATATACACAGTGAAAAATACGGGAGGGAGAGGAGAGAAGATATTTAACAAAGGATAGAACCTCGTGAACTAGAATGGATCATCTTCGATTAGGCATTCATCTGATTTTTAAAAACTAAAGACACAAAGTGTCTAAAATTGCTTTTACGCTGTGAAAAGAGTTCCTGGAGGACTCCTTTCTCCTTTGCGTTCCTATATTGTGTTCTTTTGCATTTATTTACTTGACATATTCCACTTGATATCTTTATCTTCTCTCCACGACAGATGGGACCTGAGTGTGCATGGAAATGTCACCTTCTTCATCTGTGAACCCCCAAGTGCGCCTTGCTGGAGGCCGTGAATGACACCTAAAGGTACCCTCTGACTACAGATAAACATGACTTAACTGCCCTGTTACTGATACAATATAATTGCCCAGCGTCATGCACGTCCCATCAGGACAACTGACTACATATCAATATCAACCCTACAAGCTGGAAAGTGTTCAGACTGCACTCAGGGGTCACGGGGGTGGGGGGAGAGGGGCAGTGAACTCAAAAGGAAGATGTTTATTGTGACATATTTTCTTCATTCCTTAAGGAATGTTCTTCGCCCATGGCTTTGCCTTGGGTGAAACAATGTCAAATGGTTTAAAGTGAACAGAAAATGCCAACCTCTGAGGCCAGTCACTAAACCCTTCACGACGTTCCACGTGGGCGCTACCGTACGAGTCGGCAGGCTGGCGAGCGGCTGGTGCACAGCCATGGACGGCGGCGTGGGAAGGGATCTGAGTAAACGGAAAAGTCACCTCACATGATCAACACCACTTACTATGAAAGCCAGTGGACACTCGTGGAAGGCGCCCAGTTTCCAAACCGCAAAATAGCAACCTGACAAGCCAATCGCGGGGCTCCTGAGGCTCGCAGAACACTCTCTGCATGCACCTCACCTCGCTTCCCCAACTGGTGTCTCGGTAGCTTTCAAAGGCGGGAAGGATTAAGAATACGTTATTACAAGCTACTTATGTGGCTGCTATTTGTTACCACCTTTTGAAAACGAAGGAGAACGCTGGTTCGCTTCCCCGCCTGCTCCGCGGGAGGGCACTTGCTGAGGGTGGCTGGTGGCAGGATTGAAATTCAGGAGCAATCCCTGCCTGACAAGCTCCCGCACCGCTGCAGGCTACAATCCCACACGAGGCAGCGCTGCCAGGAGGGTTATTACAATCGAGGGCGCACGGAGGACAACAAAGGGCCTTACCCCTTCCCGAAGGCACCTCATTAGCACCGTGTACGCAGCCAGGGGAACGGCCCAGCATTCTCCGGGGTGCTTTCTTTTTTCTTCCTAAAATGAAGTGGAAGAAAAGGCTGTGACGCTAGCAGCACAAAAGATATTAACCCATTCCAGAGAAAGGTGCAGTTTCAAATACACCAACTCCCTAAAACTTCCTAATATTCTCTTTACAGTACGATTGACTCCGTCAATTACGATCTGACTGGGGGGGGAGGGGGGTCCCTGACTGCACTGCACAGACTGGGACTGCGCCTATTGCTTGCTTTGTTACATATGATGTTGATCAATCCCCTCATCAGAAGCTAGAGGAGAACTGAGAAATGGCAACAGGATCTGGCTGACAGAGAAACCGCTCTATTGATGAGCGCTATACGGAAAACCACAGCAGGTAAGGGGTTAGAGCAGCGGTTCTCAACCTGTGGGTCGCGACCCCTTTGGCGGTCGAACGACCCTTTCACAGGGGTCGCCTAAGACCATCCTGCATATCAGATATTTACATGACGATTCATAACAGTAGCAACATTACAGTTATGAAGTAGCAACGAAAATAATTTTATGGTTGGGTCACAACATGAGGAACTGTATTTAAAGGGCCAGAAGGTTGAGAACCACTGACTAACCCAACCCTCTCATTTTACTGATGGATTAAAAAAATAACCCCTGGTAGCTGAAGTGACTTTGCTGAAGTCTCACAGGGGTTATGTTTGGAGGCTGGACCTGAACTCAGCTCTCCCACTTTAGTCGGGACCTCTCTGCTCTGCTTTGATGCCTGTTGCTGTTCTGATCACTGCCCCACATGTAGAGAGACAGAAACCACCAGCCATTTAGTTGTTTAGCCCCAAAAAGAGCCAATTGTAGGTGTTCTTTAAATCACATCTACAGTCACCCACTGCACCACCTTCTGACCCCCACCAGCTCTGTGATATTGTTCATCTGCTCAGGGTGGCCTGGCATGCAGTTCTTGGCCATCTAAGCCCCAGCCTCGTATGTGGCCCTGAAAACTGTAGAACGTCTATACTTGGCAGAGGAACAGCTGCCAAAGAACAGAATATGCTCTAGTTCTTGTTTTAACTTGACTCCATTGTTCACCAAATATATTTTTCCTTCAATGAAGTATCACTGAGCAGCTTATGACAGGATTTAACATTTAAACCTGTAATATAAAGATTTCTCTTTGTCCCTGTTTTCTGACAGTTTGTCAAATAAGGCTAATGGAGATTGCTAAAAGCATGACTACATCAGTAGATAATTCCTCAGGTGAGTTCTTTGCATCCATGCATGTTGCAGACGGCAGAATCAACAAGAGGCATGGGGATCAGGAGGCAAAGGAAGGGGAAATGCAAATATGAACTGCTGCTTCCCACGGGCACCAGTTCTTGCCGCTCTGGAGGCTGCGGGCTGGATTCCTCAGGCTGGCACCGCAGACAGTGGACCTCATATCCTTGGCACTCTTCTGCTTTGCATCTCAAGTAACACTTCCCTATTGCCCTCCCTTATCGCATTCTGTATTGGTCTAATGAAGTGAGATTATTTGTCACTCAGAACCATATAATTTGATTGCATATACAATACATAACATGAACTAGGTGCTTACCAAGCAAACGAGTCAGTAAGTAGATGTAAGAGACATCAGTTAATGGTGAATTCACACCCACATCACCTCCTGGGTGGACTGTTGTTGCAAGAGTCTCCTGACCAGTTTCCCTGCTTCCTTCCCATCTCCCGAGCATCATCTCAGAGTGATCTTTCTAGACTATAAGTCTCATCATGCCACTCCCCTGCTTAAAACCCTTGAATGTTACTTTAAAACCTACAGAATAAAGCACTAATTCATCAACAGGGTAGACAGACAGATGCTTGAAAATCTGGCCCCAACCTACCAGCCTGATACGCTC